GTTGATTAACAACCCTATGGTACAAAGTTTGGGGGTTGACGTGCTTGAAATGAAAAAGTCATAAATAAATAAATAACCGAGGTATGTTGATTACTGATGCTATATCTTGCTAAAGAAGAAAACACAAATTGAGTTATCATGATCTTGTAACGTTTAAGATGTGGGGCGGAACAAAATTTAGCCGGGTCTCTAATTATAGCCGGGTCTGACCCTCAGTTCTGGATTTTAGCCCCGGCTATAAATAAAGTATTTATGGTATGTGAAACGCACCTGTATGTTAGAAGGCATTTAGTCAAAAAAGATTATAACATCTGACCCTAATGCAAATCCTCCGATTAATTAATGTCTTCCAAAAGCTATTCAAAACATCGCTGAGCCCGAGTGTGTCGATCGTTGAATTACTATCAACACTAATTTTATCCCTTCATTTAGCTCCAGTGGATTCCTCCATCCTCATCGACGAATGCATTTCCATGACCGTCATGCTCATTCCGGAAGGGGTTGCCCACCTCTATCTAAAAGCGAACTATTTGAATGATCCCGCCACCCATCAGAGTGTCACCGGTGTAGCGGAGGCCGTAAGAAAAACCTTGCTAACCACGATCTCTTCGCTGACATGGATTGATGCCGAGTCCAAACTGAATATCACGAGACGAATGGAAAAACTCCCCATCATCATCGGCTCCCCCGAGGATATCAAAAACCTTACTCATATTGAGCAGCTCTATTCCAGGGCCAGCATTTCAAACAACTTCAGACTTAACATGCTATCCAGCTAATAATTGTCTACAAGTGGCAGTGCTGCTCTCTCTCTCTCTATTATTTTTGTTTTTAAAAATTTGAAGTTTTCTCGACACCCCCAACTCTGTAATTAGTGTCATCATCTCCCTATTGACCCCAACAAGATAGTGGTAGATGAATTTTTTTGCCTCGACCGTGTTTTGACCGTTCTGTGCAACTTTTAAATTCTACAACTACCGGCCTCCCCCCGTTCCTGCTGAAGTGGACTGTTCCAGACGGAAAATTCTGCTCACGCCATTTCACTCATACTTCTTCTGAGGGGATTCCCGCTTATATACGGAGCGTCCTCTACGCCCCCAAGTGCTCGGTCGGAGTTTGAGACCGTGCGGTTGTATGCGGGCTGGCCGTTCTGTTGCACTTAAAGTGCCTTCACAAGGCGAGATCCGATCCTTAATTTTTTATTATTAAATATCTGTCGGTTCACCTCTTCCCTAATTATTGTATGGTTTTTTGTCGGGCCCTGTCGCAATATGACAAAATTTATGTCCGTCGATGAAGCCGTAATGCTCGCGCATCCCACAACCAAATCAATAGTCCTGACTGGCGGGATGACTCACAAGGAAAACAGCGAAATTTATGACTTACTTGATTTCGAACATTGGGACGACGACGAAGCGTTTGGTCCTGATTGTCACTTCTGTGGACAAGTGATAGTTGAAATAGCCTTCCCGTTTACATACAAAGGAACCAAATATACCGCCCTTTTTCAAGATGACCTGGCTGGATCTCCTGACGATAGCGGAATACTTCAATGTGTATACTGTTTAAATTTTTTCCATAAAAACAAATGCATTATTACATGTTCCGACATAACTTTTTGTAACCTCTTTTTATCTAAAGACTGGGCGTGTCCTAATTGCGTCCCCGATTTCATAAGTAAATTGGATACCGTTTTGATGAACAAACAAGATAATTATAAAACATTAATGCGTAAATTGGTAAAAATGTTAAATCCTTTAAGAAATCAATTTGACGAAATGTATTATACAATCGAGTGTTTTAAACATAAGTATGATTTTTGCATAAATAATTTTGAGCCATATGGTATGGGTTAAGTAAGTCGTCACCTTACCTGGTGACTTAATATTGATAACGTGGACCTCTCACTCGATTTGGTTTCTATTCCTGTTTGTATTCTAATGATCAATTAACCCAAATTAATCCCAAACTGTTTACTTTAGTGTAAATATATTTATTACATGCTTATTCAGAGAATTAGCGTATAGTGTCATGAATTGTAAACCAGTTAATTTAACTGATATTTATTGACACATGAATAAAGGACAACTAAACTAAACTAAACAGGGCGAATTGGATTCCATTTCCCGCCTTGCAGGAAATGGATGAGTACGCTTTTGATCAGCAAATGGCCGCCGGAAGCATAAACCCTGGCGCCGCCCAGTACAGTTATGAAACAAAGAAAGTGTTTGTTCCCGCCGCACTTCTGCAACTGCCCCACTTTCACCGGGACTTTGCAGATTTCTCTGGGGTAGGATTCATTCTCGCACACGAACTAGGACATGCAGTTTATATGTCGATTGTAAGGAATACAGAAATTTTTCTGGCTTTGGTATGTCGCTAATTTAGAGTTTTTTCAGCTCATGCCATACCTGCCGCCATTGTTCTGGAAGGGGCAGGTAATTCAACCTGATCTGGCACAGTCTAAATAATACTTGTAGTTAATTTACCCAAGATTGAGTAAAGAAAAAGAGGGTTCGACAAATTTTGCTCAACTGTTGGATAAATTTTACGAAACGGTTGTACAAATTTACACAATCTTTGGGTGAATTCTACTCAACCGTTGGATAAATTTTGCTTAATTTTGTGTCATCATCTTTTTTACTCAACCTTGGGTAAACATTATTTAGAGTGTGCATATAATAAGTAATTATTAATCACATGCTCTAATTAATGTATAATTATACATATGCCTCAGGCAATCCATTCCGTAATCGCCCAATCGAACCAATTGCGAGCGACTGGACGTGGAGGAACTTTCTTAATTTAACATCTTGTGTGGAAAACCAGTACAACTCGTTTGAAGTGGGGCCTGGAACCGGGAACCCTAAATTGTTTGTGAACGGGGGGAAAACTTCGCTTGAAAATGTGGCAGATATCATCGGCTTACAGATTGCTTTTAAGGCCTTCATGAAAAATGGCGACCACAAGGACTTCGTCAGTTCGAATAAGTTTACAAAGGAGCAACTTTTTTTCATATCGTTTGCGCAGGATTGGTGTGAAGCTTATGCGAGTGAAGAGGTTGAGCGAGAACGGCTAGTTCGTCAGATGTATGTGGACTACCATGCCCCAAGCGCTACCCGGGTGATGGGGACCTTGGCTAATTTCGAGGAATTTTCGAAAGCTTTTAATTGTCCGGTTGGGTCAAAGTATAATCCGGAGAAGAAATGTGGATTTTTTGATATCTAATACATAGTATGACAAGTTACCTTATTGGTTTAGTTATTATAACTACAATTTTATTATATTTCGCTACCCGAATTAATCTGTATTGCGGATAGAATTATTGATTTGTGGGTTCGAATTCGTTCATGTGGTAAATAAAGAACATATCATAATTTACTTCTGAAATTAACATAGTTACCGATTTAAATTGGTTTATGAATTTTTTATGTAATTAATTTTTGATATGATTTAATGACTGTAACTGACAAGGGATACTTCCGAGGTGCCGGTAGTGTCCGATACCCAGGAATTTTTTCAGAATCAACTAGACCCGAGATGAAGAATCCATTCTTATTTCCGTGCAAAACTAATATTTGGCGCCGTGGTGCGGCGCCACATCTGCCAATTGTTAATGTTTTTATTCTTAAAATTGCCATAAAATCTAACCCTCTCGATTACGCTGTTTTAACCGAACTGCGAAATTAATGTGTATTATCCTAATTACATCCATATCAATTTCAGGCAGACACGTATGTAATTGCCTTCAACGATTCGTCACTCATTATCAGTTTTTGACACGTCACCTTAACCATTTGGCAGCCACCATCGTCCATCATTCTAGGGATAGTTGATTCATTCCTTTCTACTTTTTAACTAAGGAAATGTGTATCGTAGTGAGACGTGGAAAGTTACGAAATTGCATCATTGATTGGTACAAATCCGGGTGTCATTCGTTGTCGTAAATTTCATAGTATGAAAATCAAAACGAAAATGAAATGGGTGGATATTTGTCAAAATACTTGAGGTCAAAATTCACAAATTCCTTCGTCCATTTGGCTTTCCCCATTTATTAAAATTTTGCAAAATAATTCGACATTGCAGGTGAATGTGTTTGTGTATGTATCTACATACTTATAATATATTTTTATAGAATCGTCTTTATCAACAATATTTAATAACAATTGTGTGATAAGTAATTAGATATATCGGTAATTATGCATAGTAATTAATTTGTAATATATTACGGCGCAAATCAAACAATGTAATTGTCGAGGTGGCAGGTATGCATGGGATTGCATCGATTTTTTTTTATTTCGCAATAATAATTTTTGAACTTTCCTCTAAATATATACTCAGGAGGACAACCCTTCACCGACAGAATCACCGATTTTGATGCCCTTGGATATGTTGTAGTCGTAGGTGAGTCTAGCAAAAGTGAAGAAGGATTTCATTCAATGGCCCCATTTGCGCCCGCCACACCCACTCAAAGGTGCCAAAAACACGAAAAATACCCTGTTTTCGTTCATTCAAAAAATCACTAAAAATCTAGTTTTGATCGGATTTTCATAATTTTAGCGTTTTTGTGATCTTAGATAGTTGCTTTATCATATCCAATAGCTAACTCAATTTCTTTGAAATTTTGATTTTTTCGAAGGGATACCCTTTGTCAGGAAATTTTCGAAAATACTTAAAAAATTGAAAAAATTGAGTTTGCTATTGGATATGATAAAGCAACTATCCAAGATCATAAAAACGATTAAATTATGAAAATCCGATCAAAATTGGATTTTTGGTGATTTTTTGAATGAACGAAAACCGGGTATTTTTCGTGTTTTTCGCACCTCTGAGTGGGTGTGACGGGCGCAAATGGGGCCATTGAATGAAATCCGTCTTCACTTTGCTAGACGCACCTAGGACTACAACATATCCAAAGGGCATCAAAATCGGTGATTCTGTCGGTGAAGGGTTGTCCTCCTCAGCTATTCATCGCCTGTTGATAATAATTATCGACATAATTTGAATTCATTGGTTGATCTTTATTTTAGTTCAAATAACCTTATTAAATTAAAATAAATTTTCTAGACAATTATAAAGAAATAAAATCCTTGCTAACAATTATACTCACTAAATGAGTTACATAAACTTGATGTTTTCACGTAACTAAACCAAATTTATTTGTATTATTATGCATTGGTAATTTGCAGTATGGAAACTAGATATAAAATTTTGAAGCGATTTAATCATTTTGTTTAACATTAACCGATTTTCATTTAGAAGAATGAAATCCCAGCTAACTGCGTCTTAATAATTAATAAATATTTCTTCCGCTGAATCTATTAAGGTACAAAATTACAGAAACTAATTAGGAAATCGTGATTCATTCCTTTTCTCCTCGTTTCTTTTTGCCATCCACCGACCCATCCGTTATTGCCCTCTTATTAGCTCGGTTGACTGTGCGCCTTTTCTTTGGCGGTGCAACAAACTGATTGATGAAGTCGCAGGTATCGATAATAAGGCGTGGTGTGTGAGAGACTAAACTTTGCCCTCGACAGTTTACCAAATTCACCCTAACGGATGCTTTAAAGATGTCAATAAGTTCTTTACAATCTACGTTATTAAGAGTTATGTCGCTAGCCCACCCGAGGTAAATAGGTCCACACTGACTTTCACTTATATTGCAATTTTTAGTTGCCCAGATATCGACTCCCTTGTCGGAGTTACGATGGGTATATCCCTCTGTGATACAATTTGTGAGTACATTATGAACACTGCCCCGGTCAAAGTATATCCCAGTAAAGTATTTATTTGAATCATCAAATAAAAATTGTTCCTTAACAAACTTTAGATTAGAAATCGAGTTATTTGAACCGCTTATTACTATTCCACATTGATTGTTTTTGAAACCTATGGCAGAAATCGTATTATTCTTAGACGCAGATTTAATGTGAATCCCTCTATACATATTTTCCATTGTTACTTCTTCAACGCTAATGTTGCTTCCAGTAATACTAATCCCCTCTTGCCTGTTATATTTGGTTGCTTCCAAACAGTAAATTTTCACGTATTTTATTACACCGTTATTCCCAGAAATCTTAATTCCATCGGATGTTCGTTGACTTAACAATATGCAAATATTAGAAATTTGGCAATAACTCCCTGATACATCAATGCAAGTTTCACCACTCTCACATTTAAACACAGTCCCACCATCTTTTCCAAAAATACTGACATTGTCAGATTTAACATGAAATGACCCCGTATACTCGCCGACTTCTAATCTAATCTCTAAGCGTACAGTGGCTGACTCTAAACTAGCTCTCAGCTCTTCACTATTATGAACACATAAAGGAGTAATAGCGGGTATAACTTCTATTTCTTTATTTTTTGGTTCAATTCCAGCATCGTTCATCTCAATGTTACTTGGTAGTTTTTTAACACGTCGTGCACGTGTGGCGGGGAGTTCATGATTGGTAAAATTGCACGTCTCAATAGAAATGTTTTTCCTCCTAGATATTAGAAGTTGACCTCGGCACTTTTCCAACTTCGTCCCATGGTTTTTACCATCGATCCTGATGAGTTCCCCACAATCTACGTTACGTAGCCTTGTATCTGTGCTCCAACGCAAGTAAATGGGACCGCATTGACTGTCAGTTACACTGCAATTCCTACCGTATCCATCAAATTCGACGCCCCAATCCCTGCAGCTTGTAGAATACCCCGAAGCGGAGCAATTTTTGATGCAGTTTTCAGTCGCGTTTGCAGAAAAATATATTCCCGTCATCTTCAGGTTGGTCACATCTTTAATTAATTCTACCCTAGAAATCCTGTTATATGAGCCACAAATTAGTATACCACAGGAATTATTTTTACAGAGTATGCTACTAAGTTTATTAAAATCAGATCCCTCCTTAATGGAAATTCCATTCCCTCCTTTTTGTGATCTTTCTGTCAAAGTAGTAACACCTCGGGCAATTGGAAACCACTTACTATATTCCAAGGTATTTTGGCTATGCAGTTGATCAATATGCACGTTGCTTACTGAATTATTAGTTCCCGACAGCAAAATTCCTTGGCAAATGTTCTCGCCGTTCAGCTTGATGAAGATATTAGAAACCATACAATTGTTTCCTGATACATCTATGCAAATTCCACCTGTAACGTTACATTTAATTACGGTACCCTGACCATTTCCAAATATTCTGACATTGTCTGATTTGATATAAAACGGTCCTATATACTCGCCATTTTCCAATCGTATTATTGTCCCTTGCTTAGCCGACTCTAACCCTATCCTAAAGTGATGACCGTTTTTCGCAGAAAGAACGGGGCGCGTTAAAACTTCTTCTACCGCCTTTGATAATTTGTCCAATCCTACGAAATCTTTAGCCCTAGCTTCCTTTCTCCTCTTTGTCAACTCAATTATGATACCACGAAAACTGTTGCCCATTATAGCGTGTTTGTCTAATAAACTTTCTTCTTGGTCATTCACCAATCTGTCAAAATAACTGTGCTTAACAAACTCCAGTACCTCCCAAATTATCAAACCCAGAGAGAATAAATCCGCTTGGAATGTGTAGTCTTTTCCCCCATTGCGAATTTCGGGCGCCATGTAGCTCCTTGTTCCCACGAGCGACGTTAACGATCCTGTCTGGGTTCCTTCCGGTGGCAGTACTCGGGATAACCCAAAATCACCTAAGAAATAACTAAAATCACCATCATCAAATCATCAAAATTAAATTTATCGAAATCACCTATTTTTACGGGGAGCGTATAATTGACCTTGGAAAACATGACATTCTCCGGCTTGAGGTCCCGATGCATAATTTGATTTTGGTGTAGGAATTTCAATCCAGCGATGAGGTTTTTTATAATGTTTAATTGACCCCAAACTCTTTCAAATGTAAGGACATTTTCGGCTTCCTTCACTCTCAGCCAAGACCTTAAGTTTTCCCCGCAAAGTTTCATCTGAATACAAACGGAGTCCAGGACCCGATTCTTATCGTAAAGCAGGGCCTTCAACTTTTCAGGTATACTAATGTCCATGGGAAACATGCCTTCCAAATCCTTCGGTGTAAAGCTTTTTCTTTCAACATTAAGAACCTGAACAATGTTTGAATGCTTTTGCAAATTTTTGGTTATATAGCATTCTCTATCAATCTGATTCTGTTCTTTATCGGTGGCTGCATCTGGGAAGAGGAACTTGACCGCCGTCTGTTTTTTCTCGTCGTCAATTGCTCGAAGGACAATCCCAAATCCACCTTCCCCAAGAAACAAGTCGTAGGTTGTTATAGTTTCAAGGAATTTGTCGTCCTGGATTGTATCCATTCCAATTTGTTGGGCTGCGTTAAAACAAAATTTCATGTTAACTTCAAATATTACTATGCAGAAAGCATACCTGACTTTTTTAAACGGAACTTAATTAAAATTTGCAAAATTTCAGCTTCATTTATGTACTAAATGATATTTTGAATCATACAAATTGGTTGAAAACTTATAGAAATTATATTTTAATAGCATACATAACTACAACAGTACACGATGGTACTATTCGTCATTATTATCTTATCAGACCTGAATAAACAAGCTCTTATCCGTAGCTTGACTTCTTTCCATCCACACATTATGGATAGAAGTATTTGAAACGGTTTTGATTGATAAGGTTTTCTAAAATTTTTCAATTGCATTTACAGATTTCCGAGCTTTCAATAAAATATCATTGTCCAATGGACAATGTCCATGGCAGGTTGAAAATTTTTATGATTTTAGAAAATATATTTCTGTACTTATACATAGTCACACGTATTTACTTGCCGACTTAATCTTTAATTTGTTCACTTAATTTTTAATTAAGTAGATAATTGTAGGTTTCCATGGGGTTCGTTCTTCTGGCATAATATATATTCTTTGATTAGATAATGTGACCAGCTGCATTTCCACAGATTTGGTTCATTTTTAAAGATTTTTAAAGTCTGACAAAAATGACGGGTATTAAAAAATTTCGGTTCTTGGCTTGTAAAAGTGATGCCGGATAATTTTTGACAACTTTGCGTTACATTTTTTTTATTATTAACGTAGGTATTACGTAATTCAAAATGAAATTATAAAGAGTTGTGGAACTCGACCCCACCTACAAATTTCTTCAATATATGAAGGTCTCAACCATTTTATACGAGCCTAATATGGAATTTATGCGGGATTTGAATAATGGAATGGAAATCTAAAATTTGTACCTTACCTGTTAGTGGTGAAAAACGCGAAGAAAACGGATCGGAATGTAGAGGTGCCTACGTGGGTTACCTACTTATTATAAAAAATTATTACGTGACAAAACATATGTATAAATGTATTTGTAGCGAAACTTAACCTATTTATCAAACCAATGTTTTTAAAGGTATCATACTTTTAAATCCACTCTTACCAACTGGGTATTGAAAAATGACCGGTATTTATAACTGACTCTGCCTGGTTTTTATTAAACAGCTGAGCTACCCAGGTAAGTATAGATACGGTAATTACACTTTATTTCACTAATTATCATTGCATTACACAAATTACACATCAGAAAAGCTGACTAACAAACGAGTCGTACATTAAAAATCCGTAACCTGAATAAAAATCGAAGAAATCATAAAAAAGTCAAAATAAGTTAAAAAATAAGTTCAAAAAGTAAAAAATAAATTAAAAATAATACACCTCTTCTAATTGTTCTGTAATTACATACAAAAGAAGACTGTACCATACATGTCGTGTTAATTTATTACCCAGGCGGTAGAGTGGCATATCTATTTATATCGCTTTTTCTGTATCTGTTAAGCATATGGGTCTTGTATGCACTTACCAAATTTTCACTTTCTTCCCAGTCCCAAGTTTCTCGCACAATTTGTGACAAACTTATTTCAATTTTTAGTAAGTTAATTTGACCACTCGGTAAGAAATTCGCTGCTGTGCCACATACGACGTAGTTCTCGAAGGTTCCAACTGGATTGGGGGTCGACGGTTGATCTGTATATGAAGCAGGGCAATTAGCGTGGAGGTTTATTAGTGCAAAGCTCTGCATAAGCAAATATGCACTGGCGTCAGTCTGCAAACTTATACTTGATAAGCAACCGTTTGCTTATCAAAGGTTTATGCACATACGCAAATAACTGCCACCTCTTTCGTGCTAGACAGGGCCATCCATATATTATGTGATCAAAAATTCTCGATATTAGCATCCACTCACCCGACGCATACGTACATTAATTGATAGGGAATTTTATCCTATGAAAGATAGGAAGAGCTGAACCATCCACTCACTATGTAAAATGATGACGTAACATATGAACGTTCCCGAGGTTATTGTACTCTGGATACCCACCAAAATCCAGATCATTCATATTATTCTTACTTGGGCATTCCATGCATGTATTGTATGTACATAGGGTTCTATATGTCATATTTGTCGTGTCATATTTGTCGTGTCATATTTGTCCGTCATAAATGTCAAATGTCATAAATGTCAGACATTTATCAATAATGTCAATGTCAGACGTTGATGATAAATATGACACGACATGACAAATATGACATGTCCTGACAAGAACTTCTTGACACGGACAGTGTACAACCCTAATTGTAAATAGGAATGATGATTTTGCATAGTACGTATGTTTGTATGTATGGGTTGTGCTGCTTACGTGCACATGCATACGTAAGCATCAGAGAAGATTAGACCAATTCAGATTTACGAAGCTGAAGTTTAGTTTCCTGTCGAATGAGTACATACATACGTATTTAAGCGTATTTGTGTTCAATCTTCAGCTCATAAATATTCGCTTCAGCTTCACAGCATTTTTTCTCATTTTTTTCGGTAATCATAGCTAGATATGTATTTACATATCTACTAGTACACAGCTATGAATATGTTACCTACTGTATAATCAGTAAAAATGAATGCAAGTGAACATAGGTGTATACTCGCATTACAGTCTAGAAATTATTTTTACTAAAAAACTAGATGTTATAAATCGGATGATTAAGTTTTGGATTTTGATTAAAATTTTATTGATTACTCATTAATTATTTTAATAATCAATAAGTAATCAACAAAATTTATTTATGATGTATAGATTTTAAATAATTGAAAGTCTGCAAATTATTAATGTACAAATCCATCAATACCTTCTTGTCAAGGTTTCGTGACTTGAGCTTCATTAGTAAATGTGTTTGCATCAGAAAATTAGTTTTCTAACTTCGTGAGGCTTAAGAAACCATTTAATTTAGAGGATACCATTATTAAGTCGGGAAATCCTTTATGTACAAGATCGTTTTGTCCGTCCGTCTGTCCATCTGTCCGTCTCTTGGTCCGATGATTCGTGTGATAGAGTCAAATTAGGACATTCGGTTCTTTAAAATATGTATCTAATTTTTATGGATCCGGTGTGAAATTGGTCAAAATCTCGTCACTTATTCCATAATTCCATTTTTAAATATATTTGTCAAATCATGCGTTATGGAAGGCAGGGCATTTTTTAGAAATCTAAGAGCCCAGTAATAACGTACTAAGAAATATCATTTCTAAATTGTACTGGATAATTGTCGTAGGTTTTTTTACAAACAAATTATTAGAACAAAAAAACTTACACGAGAAACTACGGTTGAAATTGACATAAAAACTAACCTCACCCGTCGGACGTATCAATTTTCAACAGATTTTCAACCCTGAACACGAAGATGATACCCGTTTTGGCATCAAGCCATTGGTTTCAGTTGAACCAGGTCAACGTCGAAAAATATGAAGACGTATTAATATGAAATATTAATATAAAAAAAGTAATATAATATTTATTTTGACACACTGGTTTCACCCCTTGGTAACATGCATATGTGACGATTTACTAGTACTTACAATGAGGTGTGAGGTGGTTATCTCCGATTTTGAGCGGACGCTCGGTGTCTTAGAGGAATTTGGGGCTTACGACAACATTTGCACGTCGTCGCCAACTTAAGTACGTCTCCCAAAGTTTTCTGGGTTTATCTCATCTGCCTACATACATATGCAAGTATCGTACTAAAAATGTTGATTCTAAAGTGATACTCTTTCAAACTAACATGATCAAAAACTAATCTGGGGTAAACATGGTGTGCGTTGCCATTATCAGCTTTGAAGCACACGTGTCATTAAAGTCACTCAATGACAAATAAGACGTAGTTCCAGCCCGATTCTGTTACGCAGATTTTAAGAGACATATTTATATACATATTTCTGAACATATGTAAACCTTGTTATTTAACCGTTCTTCAAATTGTCAGTTTCTACCTTACCAATCCGCTGTAGCTCAATTCCTGGTCTAAAATTTTGACTTTCATTACGCAGCATTTCCATATTTGCATGCAATTCGAACTTATACTTTGAAATATTCCCGATCACAATGTGATTCGAGCAACCTAGCGGAAACAATGAAACTTACTTTGTTCAGAAGTACACATGCCTCGGCATTTACTATAAATTTGAAAGAATGCCTACATATAATGATTCGTACGGTTTAAATTTGATGGTGGTCGCACTTTTTGCTCGATAAACAATTCTACTGGTTGAATTCGTTCGGACGAGGATCTTGTTGCCATCTAATTGATTCCATGGTTTTTTTTAAATTTCTAACCTGATCAGCATTCAACTTCTGAGCTGTTATAACAGTGTGGCAAGGAGTTTTACCATATACCCAGCCTATTAAAATAAAGTGCTACTAGTCTAGTATTTGTGAACCTGATACGATCAAATTGCAGATCTGTAATTTGATCGTATCAAATTACATATCTATATGTAAGTACCAGGGTGTGTTTTGTCCAAAAATTGGGTGGCTAGATTGATATTAACCATTTTTACCTGACCTAGTTATATAGGTATAAATGGGCCAAAAGATCACTAGTTTAACGGCACGAGCTCCGCAATAGCTCTTTACATGATCTCGATCGACGGCCAAATTAAGTATCAAAATAATCCTATTATACAAGCCCCGGTCTAAAATCAAACAGGACTCGAATATCTGAAGCTTGGTAGGCCAGGATAAAACGAAATCTCTGTCCTTCCGAAAACTTCCTGTGAATGACCCTACAACTTAGAAATAACAAGATGACTGAAAAACTGAAAATTTTCGACAACGTAGTTTTTGCCGGGGTGTGTGCTTTCGTGTCGTGAAGAACTTGTCACCACAATGGACTCCAATCTTGAAGTGCTGTAACACAAAAAACGTGTGTAAGCACACTTTCTATATAAGGTGTGTCCAGGAATAAATGGTTCCGCGCATAATGACCTCCACATTACGACCTTGTGAAAATCTCGATTCGAGAGGTTTTCATTTTCACAGTGATTGCAACTCAATTTCGCCAGTTTAACAAAAAATGCTTTATATCCCCTGGAGGCCAACGTAATTATGTTTCAAAAAATAAAAATGAAAAGTAGCAGAATACACAAACTGCGCATTGTAGGTACACAGTACCCGGTACCATTTATTCCTGGACAAGTTATATTGAACATTCAGCTGGTTTTTAAATGAAATAATAATAAAATCTTAATTCCCAAAAACTAAGGAGCAGTCCCCATCTATCCAGATAACATTTACCTGATTAGGCTGGGTTTGATCTACCCCGATGCACATTGTTTGATGAGAGAAACCCCTTTTACCCTGTGCACAGGCTAATAGAAAAAAGTGTTCAATAATTTCCGTGCAGTAGTTTAACAAACGATCAACTGGAAATATGTTGTCATATTTTTTTATATACTCTACTTATTTCACTTTCCTCAGCGGCAACCTACAAGCACAATTTACCCGATCTATTCTTATCCCGCAAAACTCTATACTCAACATTTTGGTTGATCTTGACCAAGTGCACCAAACGGATTGGGAACTGAATTTATTTAATAACCTGCTAGATAACAATACCCACCCCAAAAGAATTCACACCATGTCCAATTTTGTCCTTGATAATTCTAAGCAATATAAGAGATGCGATAATAAGTCTTACACGGCCCCAAAAAGAAACACACACTTCGGTCAAGAAGAAATCTTCTTCATAATTCCAGCCGTCTCACAATGGCTTGCAACTATGAATTTTTACGACGTACAGTTTCAACTGGTATCTTGTGGAGAAAATCCTAGCATTATTTTCTTCGTTGACAGGAATGCACTGACTACCTCCTTTATTCCGATTGAACCCCGATTAGTTGGATTGACATCGAAATTATTCGTGCTAGGTCTTAGTAACTTACATCAGCTACATATTTACGTCTTCTGCCACACATGTGGGTCCCACCCGCTCCGCTGGATAGACCATAACCACTCCGACTTGTTCAAAGAATGGAAATTATACAATTATAACCTTCACAGGATGCCAGTTTTGATCGTATGGGGGTACCTATATTCCAGAAAAACGGATACATGCCACAGCCTTCAAAATGCTGGCAGATACTTTCCAACGCTAATGGTATGTCTCCAGAGAACGTTAAACCAACAATATAATTTTACAAGCTTTGATCCTACTCTTGATCGTCCTCCGCTCAGCTTAAACAAAATTTTGCACGTGAACATATGGTCATCTCATTTCTTATCGGGCAATTCTTCACGGAAGGAATCCTTCTTTATCTACCACATAAAAATTTTTCGGACGAGCTTAACGGCAATTTCGTTGAAACCCTCGTCACTTGTCGAGTCATTCGAAAAATTTCTACTCCCGTTAGATGCTCCCACGTGGATAGGAATAATTGTCTCCGTACTTTCAATTGCTACCGTCATAGCGATTACAAAACCAAAATCAATCACATGCAGATTTGCCAACAGTTTATTTTGGACGTACGCCTGTCTAACTGGGCAGTATGGCGGGACAAGTTATATCTTGAGGATGCTTTCGGGCCCTAAATTGTTTATAGTAACTTCTATTTGGTTCTTCTTCTTCACTGGGGCAGAGTTTTATCAAGGTGCGTTATTTTCTTCCCTAATAACTACGTCGCCGCCGGAACTTCCTGCCTCCACCAATGCTCTGGTAGACTCAAATCTGCAAATAATTACAACGGGAA